TTCACTGTTTCCTCCGCCATGGTGGTGTGGGGGTATTTTTAAAAGCAGATTCTACCCATCTATTAAAACAAAATCTGTTAGGATATGTAATGTAATAAAGGTAACAAGATTTCAGATCAGCTGATACACTCATCCATGAAGGAGACACATCACAGACTCTGTAAGAAATTTGCTTGGCTTTGTGTGCTGAAACGTATCTGTTGACAGTAACTTGATCTCTGGAGCTCTTAGATAGTCATTAAAATGATTAGTCGTGATCCATTTAGGGTACTGAATCCCATAAATTCTTTATAATGAGGCTCCATCACCTTGTAATGTTTGTGCGCTGCTGCAGTGAAAGATTCTTATTTGTTATGGGAGTTTATAAAAGCTGCAGCAGTACTTATAAAAGGCCTTGGACGTTACTAAGATATTTCATATCCCACAAATCTTGCCCCTCCCAGACCATCATGGCAATAAAACGACTATGGTCTATATCGTAGTCATTATTATCTTTGTGGTTTCCAACTGATTTTGTGAATCAACGCAATGAACTAAGGAGTAAGGTGCTCTCAGTCTGCCCTGTCAGAAGAGAATGCCAGCTGGTGCTTAGAGTCGTAACTTCCAGGCGACCTCCACAGTCCACTTCAGGCAGAATGCAGTACCTTATCTGGAGCAATAAAGGTGTGTGTGCTGCGGGTCAGAGTTGAATTTTATCACAGCAACTTCTTCTTGGCCAAGCCTGTTGCTTTGTGTGTGTATACACACATACTTAAATATTTACTTTATATTTTTGTATTTGTTTGTATAGTTACTATATTTACTAATAGTTCTTACTTTTCTATATTCAGTGATACTCAAATTAAAAGAAGCAAAGAAACAAAAAAGACCCATGTCTGACCTTTATGACCAAAAAGAAGAATATAATGGAGAACCACATGTGGATTATCAGCAATCTTCCTCTGTTCATTTTACTGAACTTTTGGGTTTAGGGAACTTGGTTGCTGTCGACCACACTTACACAAGTGTCAGGTCTTTTAAATCAAGTTGCTGTTGCTTTTATTGGTCCTTTTTAAGTTCCCTGAGTGAAGATAAGCCTTTCAAGACCCTTTCAACAATTTTGGTGGAACCCTTAATTTATCCCTCTGTGTTAATATATAAGTAATGTATTTGAATACAAGCCTGGATGCTTCTGGTGTTATACTTCTCTTTCTAAATGGTCCCATGTGGTGTACAGCTAATGTCTTGTGAGGTTATTTTTAGTTCAGCCTTCTATTCTGTGTGTCTTGTTTTAGTTTTTTTTTAAATATATATATAATGTTTATTTCAGTCTAAATAACTGGTTTGCAAGAGTGGACCATGTAACATTTTTTGGTTTGGATGAGAAAATGATTTTATTAACTATTTCCAGTGTAAGCAACTGACAGTTAGTAGGATGTCATTAGGCCCCCAGTGAGAATTGAGTGTCCATTTTTGTGCCTTAGTCATCATTTTTCATTCATACTCCGTTCATGAAAAGTGGTTTGTCTTGTCCTTGCCTAACTGCTCCCACAGCAATATTCATTTGAAGTGTTGGTGAGGTATCTAGTAAACTTGCTGACCACAAAATCATTTTCTTTCATCTTAATTTTCTCACCCTTGTGCTTTTAGTATTAGAAATAAATGATAATAAAAAAATGGTTTTAAGGAGCACATGCTTAATTTGGATTAGAATCACTTTTGTCATTGAAAAATGGCTGTCAGTTTCTTCCCATCGCAATGCAGAAAGCTATCATTACCTATTTTTAATACGATAGGGATTTATTTTCCTTTTATTCTTAATATTTTATATTTTTAAGGCAGTTTATCAGGAAAGGTATGCTATTCCTTCTGTGGATGGAAAATAAAACTGTAGAATTGTGAGTCTGAGGAGAGACAAGTAACTGGTTGAATTCTATGAACAGTAGCAATCACTGTTGGCTAATTTTGCAAGTGTCAAGCTTTTTTTGTTGTTTTGCTGCCTTTTTTTTCCATCAAAGCGCTCATGTATTTACACCAAAAAAAATGGAGGAGTAAGAAGAAAGATTTTGATCTTTTTTTAATTCAGTTGTTTCTGCGGAGTTATTTTGTCAAGTTTCTCACAGGAAGAAAGAGGATGATGGTTTATTAACGCTGAACTGGTACTGCGGTCTAGCATTCGGTCTGAGATCTACCACAGACTCATTAACCCTGAAACAATAGAATTCCTCTCTTTGTCTCAGTTCTCTTAAAAATATAAACAATACTTGCCAATAGATGTTTGACTGAATTCATGTGTGGAAGTTATTAAAAGGAATAAAGGACAAATTACATTTGAATATTTCAGTACTGGTGGTAGTCAGTACTGGTTGTGAGTCTTCCCCGGTCATGTCTTTGAATGATGGAAAAAGAGCACCCAGGTGAGGTGACAGCCACAGTTTCAAGGTCTTCTAGGTGAAGATTTAAAAGTTATGCAAATTCCATTATAGAAAAAAGTTAAAATTATTTCATTACATCTAATCTCTATGAGCTTTTTTCCCTGCTAGTTTCTGTGTTAAGAACAGTATTTTGTTTAGGACAGAAATATTTTATCCATTGCATTTTAAGAAATTATGAAACGACTTTAATTCTGTCAAGATTAACATAGAAATACAACTCTCAATTTCCACAGTCCCGTGAAAGTATTAATCATATATGAAAAGTACCTTATTTACTAGACTAAGCCACTATTTGTGGGTTTTTTGCATTGTTAAAACAGTTATTTATGGCTGTTCTTTACTTGAACTCATGTAAATTTAAAAAAGGAACATTATAATGAGCAAAAACTCCTTAAAATGCTTGGGTGATTAACATATTTCACTGTCTTATTTGTGAATGGAATAAAGATAAAGAGCTTTATATTATATATGAAAATATAACAAATATGGGAGGTGACTGACAGAAGAGGAATAAATAAAAAAATTGAGGATTTGTCAAAAACCATCCTGCTGTCAGTTTGGAGAAGCAAGAGCTGAAGGGCCCCAGCAGATCTTGTCTCTGACACTGTATTTCAGGAAGAGATTATTGTCCATAGTAATTCAAATTTGATCTACTGACCTTTAGGTTTTTAATTCCTTTAATTTGTGTCTTACCTGCTCACACATAGTATTTAACTGAATACTTTCATTGGCTTTATTCAAAGAGTTTGAAAGCAGTGTGAATTTAATGGCCATTCCTTTGTCTTGTGTATTCTATCACGTTAGACCTTGACTTTGTAACATTTTTTTACTCGGGCAGTCTCTGCGGGTCTTTTAGCAATATAGGTGTGATGTCATCGAGCCCATGTGAGGAGTTGCACATTCATCTTGCCCTCTGCATCACAAAAAAAAAAATATACTTCAAGTATTTGAAGTGTTTTAACATAACACTACTATGCTTGATTGACAATGTCTTCTCTCAGTAACATCTCTGAAGCTGTGTGTAGGCAGCGACTTGAGCTCGGATAGCCAGAATATGATGGATGAGTCTGGAATGGGTGAGAGAAATCGAGTGTTGGAAATTAGGGCACAATTTGAAATGAGGAGGAAGAGCTGTGACTCTATAAGGACTGAGTGGCTATCAAAGACTGAGCAAGAAGTGCTTTAAGAGCATTGGGACATGATGTAATAAATGTAGCAAATGGACTTGTGGAATGATAATGTAGAGTATTAGGGCAGAAAGATTCAGGAGGCTCTTAATTTTGATTCTCCAGTGTTGGTCTGTAGAGCTGAGAATAGGACTGGTTGTGTGCTTTCTAGAAGCTTACTGCGCTACACTGGGACGGAATAATTCAGTTGAGGTGTTGCCCACATTCACCAAATGGACCTGTCAGTTCTTGTGGTATAGAATCTGAGGTGCTGTAAAGTGTTTCTTCAGTGATGAGGACCACTGAACATTTTGTTTAATTTGCTGGTTTCATTTTGTGTAACTGAGATCTGCTCTGGAAAACATTTTCTTTATACAGTTATAATGCAGTTATTGGAGTGAAAAATTACTTTCAAATCTCTAGCCCAAGACTACTTCTTGAAAGCATTTTCAAAACACTGGTACTTATGTATCCAAATGATTCCAGCTGTGGGCAGATTGGATTACACCAAGCCTAAAATTTTACCTTGTTGTTCTGATTATATTTTACAGAATCTGGGAAGGAGGATAGCTGTCAGCTTCCCCTTCTTTATGTGTGAGGGCTTTCCTCATAGTAATACATAAATCCCCTGTAAACCCTGTGATCAGGAGAGATGCAGCATAGTGCAAATAGGGTAACTGAAGAAACTGCAGTGCCTTATAATCATGTTTTCTGAACAGTAATAACAGAGTGCTGTCGCCTTTCAAGTATGTCTCCTTAAATCTCCTTTTATTGTTTCCGAACGAAACAGTGAAATAGCCTATACACACAGTGCTGTCAAATACAGAAGAAAAGAAACTAAAGGAATAATTTATCTGAAAGAGCAGTAAATATTTGTACTTCTTACTATATTAGAAAGTGGGTATTTAAAAAAAAGTTTCAAAATAATAGTGACACCTGAAATATATAGCAATAATTTGTATCTGCAGTCCTTCAATGCTTTGTAATCCTTAGTGACTGTATCTTCTCCCTTGTGAGTCTGGCAAATGCTGTCATCCCAGTGATAGAAACTATGAAACCTGTTTAGGAAATTAGACACAAACTCAGTGTGTTGTCTGGGATCACCCAGAATATCTGTGCAGAGCAGAGAATTGAACTAAGGATTCTCTGTGTCTAAGCTTGAGTTGTAATGATTAAATAATCTTTCGGGCTCCAGTTCTAGCACTGCTGACATTTATGCTATAATTCTTCCCTATTTCAGGATAGGGGGAGGAGTTACTGAGGTAGTGTTGGTAACTCAAACTGAGAGACTTATTAAATGCTTGTAAAGCTCTTAATCTTTTCTACCTGAGAATCTCACAAAAATGAAATTAGGTGGTGGCATTTTATGGCCAAGTCAATATCTTAACACCATAATTGGATTTGTGTAAATGTATTTTAGGTCTCCTATGTGATTAGAGATGAAGTGGAGAAGTATAACCGAAACGGGGTAAATGCACTTCAGCTGGATCCAGCATTAAATAGACTCTTCACAGCAGGCCGAGACTCTATTATAAGGATATGGAGTGTCAATCAGCACAAGGTAAGTCAAGAGAGGATTCCTATGGCTAAACCTACTTTTATCCAAGTGCTCGTGCTAGTAAGCTGCCTATGGGTATACATCTGATAGGGTTTTTTTTTAACAGCTGCCAATTACTATGATAGGCAAATCATTTTGATATTACTCATATGGTAACAAAATATGTGGGAGAGAACTAAGTTGGTAGTCACAGAATGGTTGAGGTTGGAAGGGACCTCTGGAGGTCATCTGGTCCAATCCCCCTGCTCAAGCAAGGCTACCTAGAGCTGGTTGCCCCAGACTGTTTCCAGATGGCTTTTTCTCCAAGGATGGAGCCTCCACAACCTCCCTGGACAACCTGTGCCAGCACTCAGTCACCCTCACAGTAGAGAAGTGTTTCCTGATGTTCAGAGGGAACCTCCACTGGGCACCACTGAAAAGAGCCTGGCTCTCCCTTTTTCACACTCTCCCTTCAGGTATTTATATACATTGATGAGCTGCCCCCCCCCAGCTTCTTTTCTCCAATAGTCCCAGCTCTTTCAGCCTTTTCTTCATGGGAGAGGTGCTCCAGCCCCTTTATGATCTTTGTGGCCCTTTGCTGGACTCTCTCCAGTATGCCCATGTGTCTCTTGTACTGGGAAGCCCGGAACTGGAGCCAGTGTTCCAGGTGTGGGCTCACCAGTGCTGAGGAGAGCCTGCTGCAGCCCAGGATACCATTTGCGTCCTTTGTCGCAAGGGAACATTACTGGCTTATGTTCGTCTTTGTGTTCACCAGAACCCCCAGGTGTTTTTCTGCCAAGCTGCTTTCCTGCTGGGTGGCCCCCAGCATATACTGGTGTGTGGGTCCCACTGAACAAAAGGCCAGTGTTAGGATCTCAAGCAGACTACTGGAAAACAGGGCTTCCAAGTGAAAGGTGCAGAACATAAAACTTCATGAAGTTTGTGGCTTGGAGGAATCCTGAGAGTTTCTTGTGTTTTGATTCTGTTCCTCTTCACAGCAGAGCAAGTCCAATCCCGTAAATGCAGAAATGACATTAGCGTGGTGGTCCCTTTTGTTTTGGTTATAAGTTTTTCTGTGATACAAACCAAAACACTTTAAGGTGAAATTACACATGAAATGAAACTGTGAGTTTAAAATGTATAGGAATTCCACTGAAAACCATTTTGTGGTACCTTACATAGCTGTATAGTTCTTTCACCAAAAAAATCTGGAATAGAGACTTCAAGCAACTCTACGTTGCGCAACTTTTGATCCATTTGAAGGTTGAAGAAAATGTTACAACAGCATCTGATAGTCACAATCTTTTCCGTTTGTGAAGAGATCTTACAAACTTTTTTCTTAATTTGCAGCAAGACCCCTATATAGCATCTATGGAACATCACACAGATTGGGTAAATGATATTGTGCTCTGCTGTAATGGTAAAACATGTAAGTACTTAAATGTTTGAAAACTACAGTATTCAGAAATTGTGTATAAAAGTATATTATCTACTGCCTTAATTATTTTATGTCTTTTTACGTAAAATGAATTTCTGTGATGTGTATTGTAAACTTGGTAAATAACGTAAGCAGGTGTTTTACTGAAAAATTTAAATGTGTTTAGATACGATTTTTTAAATCTTTTTGAAAAGAAAATTAATGAGTAGTAGGAATATGCTCTACAGTAATATATAAGCCATTAAAGTTTACTCTTTATTCTTTCCACTGTAGTGATATCTGCTTCTTCAGATACTACTGTTAAAGTGTGGAATGCGCATAAGGGATTTTGCATGTCAACACTAAGGACACATAAGGTGAAAAACATTATCTGTAAATACTCTGTTACCCTGGCAATCTTTTAAATATTAAGATGTAGATTTTAAATGGATAATGTTGTTAATTCATGTTGTTATATTTATTTTGTTGTAGGATTATGTGAAAGCCTTAGCATATGCAAAAGATAAAGAACTGGTAGCATCTGCAGGGCTGGACAGACAGATATTCCTCTGGGATGTAAATACTCTAACAGCACTGACTGCCTCAAATAACACCGTAACAAGTAGGTACCTGGGGAGGGAAATGCAATGCATTTTATTGAGTAGCATAATCTGAGATCAATTTAAGACTACAGATACCAGTTTCTGTGTAGATAAAAAATAGCAAGAATTTTTAATGTGGTTTTAGGATATACTCAGTCCATTTGTTCCATTACGTAATAGCTGAAAATCTAGAGCAACCAACAGTCACGGTGTTTAGAATAGAGGACAGGTCTCTTTGAACGTTCTCTCCTGAAATGTAATGTGCTGGTATTCTCTGAAACGTGATAGAGCTTTAGCTTCAGAAGATTTTTGCTCCTCAACTAACCCGTTGAAGAGAAATTTTCACTTAGGTTATTTGTTAGTGCATTTTCTGTGTATTATAATGTAGTTGGTTTTTGGGGGTTGTTCTGTTTATATAGATGCTGCCAAAAGTGCAGTACAGCTCCTAAAGCAGAACTTGGTATATTTATCAAAGAAGAATAAAGTTACTAGATAAATTTAGATTTAAAAAGTGTGAGGTAATACTAAGCACTAATTACATGTAAGGATAGCATACTAGTGAGATCTAAATCACTAGTTAGATATTAGAACGCAAGGGGAAACTCTCCGTAGATTCTGCTTATCAGGGTTAATCCTTAATGTCATCATCCTTTATGTAGTGGTCTGTCCCACTTCTCTATCCCAATAAAGACATTATAGTAAATGACAAGATATTTCCCCGTACAGCAATTCCAACACAGCTTTCTTAGAATAGTCAGGATACAACTAGTTAAGTTTCTCTTCTGGGACGTATCACACCAACCTTCAAGTTCAGTTAGATTTAATTGCTCGAGTGAATAATGTAAATCTGGATCATCAGCATCCTGATTTGTATTGGCTATTTTACAACACATTTTTCCAGAACGAGTTCTAGTTTGACCACAGTGTGTTTTGCTGCTTGTAGGTATGTTGGGAAAAATAGTGTTCAAAGTGACTGATGTCTTTCATTTTATACTTAGTGTTTGAAACATGTTTAAACAGTAGCAGAGTCTCAGATGTGTGTGTTGGGAAAGAACATACCATCCTGCTACACTGCCACACTTGAATTTTCTTGTTTCCTTATTCATAGGTTAGGAATGACTCAGGAAAAATCTGCAAAACTAAAATTTGGAATTGGCACAGCAGACTTTTAAGAAATTTCAGGAATACAATACTTCTGTAAATAAGAGGCAGGCATATAGTTGTTTTGCTGGGGTTTTTTTGACTTACTGTTTTGACTAATTTGGAAAGGTGTGTTGGTTTTATGGGTTTGGTATCTTCTAAAACTAAAAGTGCATCTGGTGGGCAGAACTGTCATTTTGCACGTGTGCTGTCTACAGGACCTTTTAATTCAAGTATAGCTTTATGCTGGCAGGTCTGTATAGCCTTCAGAAGAGAGGTGGCCTCTAGTGAGCTGTGTCAAACTGCAGAACAGTATTGGGATGCTACATGATACACATAACTAAATAGGTTTACCTTATATTTCCCAGAAGTTTTTTTTCACTGAAAGTAGAATTATTTTATCACCAAACTTTGCTGATAACTGTAAGTTATGCTATCTTCTTATTGAACAGGGAGTTTTTGAAGTACAAATTTATTTGCTGGCTCACAGGAAAACTCGGTTGTGGGGGAAAAAATAAAAGGATTTCTTGAACACTGCGACAGTGATACAGAACCTACATGATTCGAGTGAATCATAATTGGGAGATGGGGAGTACTGAGGAGCTGATGATTGTTTTAAGCCCAAGATCAAACAGAAGCGGAGGCATTACCTCTAAGATGACAGAAATAAAATTGCATTTCTAGAGTTAGAAGAGTAACGCTTCATAAGGGGGAGGAAGGGGAAGCAGGGAGTTGTTTTTCTTTCTAGCGCTCCCACCTAGAAGTATGTGTCCTTAAAGAACATGGTTTTCCTCAGTCCTTTCAAACAGTATTGATTTTTTTGTCAGAGCGAAAATGAAGATTGTTTTTGTGCATTAATTTCCTATCTGGTTACAGGGAAGCAGTATACACAAGCAAACATTAAGAGGTAGACTGTTTTTAAAGAGTCTCTCAGTTAGCATAGCCATAATTTAAATCAAGTGGAGTGATTTTGCTTTTGAGAGGAAATCTCTTCCAGAAGGAGGTGGAGTCGAGCTTTGCTTTTGTTCTGGCATAAATTTTGCTTCTGTACACTTAAGATGCTCTCTTTCATTCCTGATGTCCAGCCTATGGTAATTCTGTACATTATCCTTTCATAAATTATTATGGTGATTGAACAAAGTGCTAACCTTCAAGAGTTTTCAGTTCTGCTTTTTGCCTTCAACTATTCTCTGGGGACAGTGGAAGACCATCACTTTGTTTTGGCAACAAATAATAGATTTCATTTGAACCTTTGTTTGGATAACCATAGCTAGCGGTTAAGAGGACCCTGAAGTAAAGCTGCATAATTGTTCCACTGTGACAACACGTTTATGATATTGGGTCACAAATAGTGTGTTGGAAGCTTATTTCCATAGTATACGTAAATCACTATATAAAGTGCCACATTTTGCTGGCAATGCAGTTTGTTGCTATTCTCAGCCTTTTTGGCATACTGATTGTATGGTTTTGAGGCTTGATGAAATGCCTAATGGTGCTCTCTGAATAGATTATTTTAATTTGCTCTGTCTGTGTTTTTCCCAGTTGAGGGATTGGTACTTTATTCTGTCCAGAAGTAGATTAGGTTAGATGGTACAGAATTCCTCAGCTCTGATGGTAGGAGTGAGGCTAAAGAGTTGCCATGTGGTTTTCCCAAACACGGAGGTGGCATCTGCGCTCAGGTAACACATTTCAACACTGCAGTGTAACTTCAGTAATGCATCTCAGATGAGCTAAGAGAGAAGAGCCTTTAATATATAACATAGGATTCTACTGCTACTTGGCTTGGAATAAAATCTCAGCACATAAATCCAAATGCTATGTATTATTAGATCACATAGAAGTATCATTCTCTGATAAAGTAGTTGAGAAGAACAAGTGTACCTTGATGGTCCTAGCGCTGAATTGTGGTGCCAAAAGTGCGCCATGGTTGTAATGACCATAAGTCTGAGGAGTACTTCCATTTTTATGCAGCAGTAGATTAAGAATTGGGATGGGGTTTTCCTAGCAACATGCTCTCTATAGTCTTTCTTTTTCTTGAAGGCAATTCTATATATGGGTTAGAGTGGCACTATTTTCATGAATGAAAGGGTATTAAAATACCCTAAAATACTGGTTTGAGTGAATATGTTTTTGAAATGACAGCATTAAAATTGAAAATGTAAATTTTATTTTGAAATAGCTTCTTCCCTGAGTGGGAACAAAGACTCCATCTACAGCCTTGCAATGAATCAGATGGGAACAGTCATTGTATCAGGGTCCACTGAAAAGGTAAGCAAAAATCTGGTACAGCTCATTCCACTTCAGTTCAAAGTGTAGTATAGACAATTTTATTCATTTTCAGTGTAATGTCTGTAGCAGTTTTTGTGTTTTTAATGGTGAGGGTAGACACTTGTTTTTTAAGTGGGAGTGTAAGTGTAGGATACAAGTACCTGCCTCGGTCTGAAGATGTGTGTATATCCATATGGCTTTAATACACAGAAAAGACAATTGGATCATCTTGTGTAACCCCCTCTCTATCGGAGATCGTTACATTTTACCCGAAGAGCTCTTATTTTGGGGGCATGTTACTCAGATGATTATTAAAAATTGAAGCAGTTGCCACAGGTGAGAAAGAAGAGGTGCCAGCAATTTGTAAGACCCCCGTAGGAGCTGGGAAATGAAATGAGCTAATGAAGTTCAAGTGTTGCCAAGACGTAGCCCATGTTCTTTGTTGTAAAGGAAGGTGAAACACCTTAAAGTCCCCTGCAAGTTGTTTTTTTTTACCTAATGCAACCTTGAGAGAACTTTATTTCCAAGTCAGTATAAAAACAGGATACACCAACAAAGCATCTGGAGGATTCACAGAATCGCTTTTTTACCAACATCACACTATCCTGTTTCCAGTCACTTCCATACTTTAACTTCTTAAGACAGAAAAAGCCAGAAGAAATGAAATTAAAATCAAGCGAAGAAAATCACATCTGATTTTTAGAGGTGCATAAGATCTAGTTACGTCTATCTTGTTCTAATGAAGTATGTTTTTGGTGATGGATGTCTGCATGTTTGGAGTAAGGGTCAGTTTATTTGGAAAGGCTTCATTTTCTGTAGAGAAAATGCATTGGTGGGAAGAATGATGCTAATGCCACTTATCCAATATCTATTTGTGTAGGTTCTAAGGGTGTGGGATCCAAGAACTTGTGCAAAACTAATGAAACTCAAAGGGCACACGGACAATGTAAAAGCTTTGTTGTTGAACAGAGATGGCACTCAGGTATGTGCTTTAATGTGAGACAAAGCCATTTTACGGAATGTAGAAATGTCATTAGTCTTTTTCAAGATAATTATTTTATGTCATAGGTTACAGAAGGTAGCTTAACAAATATTTTACAGATATGTAGTGATTAAGGGAGGGAGGCTGGTGGGTGAAAGCTCTGTTTTATTGTAGGTCCATCTAGATATGGAGGAGGTGGTTTACATAAAATGTCTGGAAATTGCGAGTAGAGTTGTTAACTGCCAGTCTTCGTTTATCACAGTCTTAATGGAAAAATATAACCATAAGTATTATGAAAGCTCTTTATGGAAAAAATGATTTTAAAAGACTTAAATACCTGCTTGATTTAAGTATGATGGTTGTTGCTCAGTGTCTTTCAGGCAGCTCTGATGGGACTATCCGCCTGTGGTCCCTTGGGCAGCAGAGATGTATAGCCACATATCGAGTCCATGATGAAGGTGTTTGGGCTCTGCAGGTCAATGAAGCCTTCACTCATGTTTATTCAGGAGGAAGAGACAGGAAGATTTATTGTACAGATTTACGAAATCCTGATATCCGTGTGCTTATCTGTGAAGAAAAGGCACCAGTTCTTAAGGTAATTGAGTTTAATTCACAGAATCACAGAATGGTTGAGGTTGGAAGTGATCTCTGGAGGTCATCTGGTCCAACCTCCCTGGTCAAGCAGGGCCACCTAGAGCTGATTGCTCAGCACTGTGTCCAGACGGCTTTTACATATCTCCAAGGATGGAGATTTTGCAACCTCCCTGGGCAACGTGTTCCAGTGCTTTGTCACCCTCACAGTATAAAAGTGTAATTGTATTGCATGTTGTCTAATGAAATAGTGGCTTGAGGTATAAGTTGACAGAAGAATGCATATTGGGTAACAAGTGTTTGCTACAGCACATCTTCAGTGTATCGAGTTTGTCTCCTAAATTACATCTGAAACTTAATAGTCTGAAGAAGATAAATGCCTGGCAGCTACTTAAAATGTGCAAATTCAGATATTACTGAAATTAAAAATGCTTCAGACATGAAAAGTTGTTTTCACCAGACTCTAGTACCATTTTAAGAAACTAAGCCGGCATTGCCAAGGCTTTAGACAAAAATGGATGTTTCTTAGCAGCAGTATCTATGCACACGACTCTGTTAGAATATGTTGCGTACTCATGGGAACCAGAAGTAAATTTATTGTGGGTTTTTTGAACGCATAAACGCAATGTTTTCTTAACTGGAGAAAACTGCATGCACAAGTCTGAGTCTTTTGAAGAGACTGCTTTTTGGATTTTTTGCTGTCTGTAACTCTAGATGACATGACCTTGGAACACATAAGCGTATGGGGAGTGTGCAATTGAAACAGATACCAATATATAAGCAATCTGGCTTTCATTGTGGGTGAACTCTGGCTTAGTATGTTCAGATAAAATCCTGGATATGTTAATGTAGTTTTGAAAAAATCAGAATCTGGGAAATGTCAGTTCAAAATGCAAAACGAAAGCTGTGGTCAGCTGTACAAAGGTCAGAAGGTGTCTCTAATATCTTAGCTACAGTGATTCATTAGTGTCCAAGAAGTGTAACAGCAGAGCCAAACGTATAAAGTTCTGCTTTTAAATTAGTACAGAACTTCTTACATTCTCTTTTTAACTCTGTGAAGTGTTTGAATGCGAAGTAATTCAGCAAACATTGTACTTATCAAACTGTCCATTGCACAAGATTGAATCATGCTAAAAACAACTTTAAATACTGGCTGTTTAGACGCATTGCGTCTACTGTTGTCCACGTCCAGAATTTATTTGTTGAATATTTGAAACAAATTCTCTGGAGTTTCAGAAATCGCAGCTTAGTTATTTTTCGTTTAAACTTCGTATTTCTTTAGTAAACTGAAAGTAGTGCTGTTTCTGAGATACATCCAAGTATGGGAGCAGGTCTACACAGACCAAATATTAATTGAACAATGGAAAATTAAGTTAAGCGTGCCTGAAAGTATCTGTGGTTTCGTTATTTAGATGGAACTTGATAGATCAGCTGATCCTCCTCCAGCACTTTGGGTTGCAACAACGAAATCCTCTGTGAATAAATGGGTAAGTGATATATTTTACACTCTGTGAATTCAATTAAGTAGTCACGGGATTTGCAGTCTTGGTTTGGGAACTGTTGGGCTGTTGCTTGCAATTTCACTGTGACTTGCTGTGATCTGTAAGCTTTCTTTAAAAAAATCATAAAACGCTAATACTGAAATTGATCAAAAAGACGCTGAGCTTTGAATTACTTCCTTTGCTGTCTATTTATGCTGCTTTTGGAAATAAATTATCTTACTCAGAACTGGATGGTTAACATCCAAATAGCAGCATGAACTGGCAGTTGTTACTCACAGATAAAAGCAAAGTTTACGGATTATTATGGATGTGTCATTATTTTGTTTCTTTCTTTAGACTTTGAAGGGAATTCATAATTTTAGAGCATCTGGAGATTATGATAACGATTGTACCAATCCTATACCACCCCTGTGTACACAGCCTGACCAAGTTATAAAAGGTAAACAGCTGTTTTCCAGAGTACCTTACAAAATCTGTTCTCGTTAGCAGAAATGGTAGATCTTTAAGACTTTAAGACTTTAAGATCTTTAAGGCTCAGGTTTTTAGATGCTTGATACTATTATTTTAACTGAAACAAAGGCAATGTGGTTATCATCTATCTAGTGTTAGCTACAGTTAAAGCAGCGTGTTGGTGATATTCAAGTCTTGCATCAAATGTGAAGCCAAAGAACAATCACACGTGTTGTGTTATACAGTTTTAATTTAATGTAATATCAGAAAAAAACACAAAACACTGTAGTGACTTTAATTCTTGTTTATTTGCTAGGGGGTGCTAGTATTATTCAGTGTCACATTCTTAACGACAAGAGACACATATTAACCAAAGACACAAATAATAATGTGGCATACTGGGATGTCTTGAAGGTAAGTATATAATTTTGGATTAAACATCTACTGTTAGATGATTAATTATTTTGTCCCTTTTTTTATCTTGTTTTTTCAGTCCTGTGGTAGAAAGAAAGTAATCTTTCTGGCCCAAGACATGATGCAAAGATTGCTTTTTGAAAGAGGAGAGGGCATTTCTGAGCTTTTCTGCATCTTTGCCTGATTTGAGGCTGGGTATTGACATCTTCGTTCACCTGAAATTCAGACCCTTGAATTCTCTCCTGAAAATAGTAGTGTTTGTTTTGATAGGGCGCTCTTTCGAAGAGGGCTCTTAGAGGCCCATGGGCCTGTCTGCCCAGTGCAGTACGGGATGGCATGAGAAAGCTTAGCCTGCAAAAGGGAAACCTGTGCTTCAGGTCCTGCTGCAAACCCACAGATCCCAAGCGAGTGTGGTGATTGGGAGTCTGTGCAGCAGTCTGAGAGTGTGAACTCACCATTGCGCTTGTTAGTTGGCAAGAAAGCAGGCAGGAAGGCAGGACTGGAAGGAGAGTTAGCAGGAGGAGGCACGGCTCCCACCTAGTATTACTTGCTTCTGTGAGACGAGAGACACTTGGTGTGGTCAAAAGGAGAGGGAAAAGAGTGCGGAGAGAAAGGACCGGAATCCCAGATCAGTGAGATGTTCAGCAGTTTCTTCTTTTGCAAAATCCTGTTTGAAATTTGAATATTTTTTTTTTTCATCTTGAACTATGCAGTGCTCCAGCCAAGATTCAGTAATGAAGTAAAGCACGCCCAGCTAACTTACCGAGTTGCTGACTGAAGTGAGAAAGAAGGGAATTAAGTTGGAGAATGTAGATTTGTACTAAAAATGATCTAGATTACTTCTCTGGAAAAGCAAATAGCTTTTTTTTCTTTCATTTACAGTTGGTATATATTTAAGTACAGTGTTAGATCTCAGGACCAAAGTCAAATGCTAATGTTAATTTGTACCTTCATTCAATTCCTTTTCTCTTTTGTTAGTATGGGTTTCAGAAGCGTCTCCTAAATATGTTTAAATACTTATTTGCTGTAGAGATGGGGTTACTTGACAGGTCAAAGTGTCAACTTATGTATAGGATCACTGCACTCTAAAGCTGAGACACTTTATTGAGGATGCTGGAAGATGAGAGGGAGGTTTTCTTACCTGTAACTACACCCTTCAATCCTTGCTTCCTGTAACTTTTCCTAGATTTTGAGGAAATAACTCTTGCAAGGTTACAATCCTTAGAGTTTGCTCAAAGCATGTGTTTCAGGATGACTCTGCAAGTGGATTACAAGAACTGGGATGTTGACAGACTTACTTGAGAAGCTTTAAAAATGAAAGTATAAAATAAAACAGGTAGATAAACTAAAACAGGAAAAAAGAATCTGCACACAAATTCACTCACTGCTGTTCCCATTGCTGCAGTTGAGCTGAATTTGTTGGTAGATTTGCAGCAAATATTGGTGTTTGATGGAGAGTTGTACTGAAATGGTGATAGTGATGAGGAGAACAATGACAGAGGATGCTAGAAGACAGCTATCTGCTCAGCGAGAGGGAAAGTGTTTATTGATGTAAAATAATATTTCCATACCTCTCCACAGGCTTGATGCCACTACCTCAGAAATAAATAATAAATAAAACATAAAATTTATTTACCACATAAACTATTGTTCAATTTTTTTGAGAAAAATGTGAACTTTTAACTTGTGTGTTTCTGGACTACAATACTCATGGAGAAATCATAAGTCATAAACTTTTGAAGTGTATATGAAAGTCAACTGAAAGATTTGAGGTGTTGATATGACTCAATGCTCAGAATTTAAAAACTTGTGTATTTCTTTTGGTGTACAGGCATGTAAAGTTGAAGACCTTGGGAAAGTAGACTTTGAAGAAGAAATTAAGAAGAGATTTAAAATGGTGTATGTGCCAAACTGGTTCTCAGTAGACTTGAAAACTGGGGTGAGAGACAATTCCTAAATCTGTTGTTATAATGTCATATTTCATATCTTTTAATATACTGTTTGTTCACAAGTTTTATTGTGTTACAAGTTTTGAAGAACGATCATAATTTATTTGATGGGTTAGATTTATTTTGAAGCAAAACAGCAAATTTTACCTCAGTTCTTAATCTGAATAACAGATTATTTTAAAACCACCACCCCCCGCGCCGTGGTGTGGTCAATTTAAATCCACCAATACTAATTATGAATTAATACAGTTTGGTAAACAAAGTGTGCTATCATGCCTTTAGAAATTCTTTGTTTTGTATTCCCAGCTAAGTATGAACAAAATGAATTTATAGACTTGTTTAATACAAAACAAGTATTGCATTTCTTTTCCTGGTGGTCTTTTTCCGACAGATGTTGACCATTACTTTGGATGAAAGTGACTGCTTTGCAGCCTGGGTTTCAGCAAAGGATGCTGGATTTAGCAGTCCAGATGGTTCTGATCCAAAATGTAAGTTTTAAGTAATATTAGTGTTTTATTGAGTCAGAAAAGCAGAATAAATTCCAGTATTTATGTTTCAGAGTATTCCAGTGCCACATACGTGAGCAGCTGGTTGGATTTTAGGGCTGATTTTCTTGAGACTAAATTCTGCAGAGAATTCTCCATTGAGAATGTTTTGCTTTTTTCTGAAACATTTCAGTCATGTTCAGGTTTTCTATTTAACTTGGTTTTAAACCTTCAGGAAGCGAAAGGGAAAACGTAATATTCCTAAACTTGGAACTATTACCTAATCTAGAGAATATTACAGCATGTGAGTCATCCAACAGTAGTGATTTTAAAATCAGCTTTTACTGAAAGATTGTGAGATACAGCTCTGTGATAAGCAGATTTCTGTGCCCACTAATAGTTTAGTTTGGGAACAGAACTACTCAAACTTTTGGGAAAGTTTTCAGCTGTGGATCAAATATAGAACATTATGATGCCAACAGTTTTTATGTAACTGAAGTTCTGCCCCACTCTGTCTTGACAGTAAACCTTGGAGGGCTTCTGCTACAAGCGCTTCTGGAGTATTGGCCTAGAACACATATCAATCCAATGGATGAAGAAGAAAATGAAATAAATCATGGTTAGTATTTTAGTATTTTCCTTTCTTAGGATTTGTTCATATGTTCCGTTTGTTTATATTTCTGTTTCTTTAACCGATACAACTTGACTTGCTGTCTTACACCTGTCTCTGTATGCATTATAGACTAATGTTTTTTAATAATTTGAAATTTGCTTTGCACCAAAATTTGCTGAGTAGCTTTCTTCTTCTGAAAATACCAGCAAACATCTTAAGAACTTTAGTCCATAAAAAAGTAGGTGAATAGATGATTCTGAAGTTACAGAAACATGATGCCTTGAGGGAAGAACAATTACTGGCAAAACTAAGGCTCAACTTGGAAAGAAACAGCCTAGATAATGACAGCAAAGAGCAATAGTTCAGTTATTCAACATTAGCCAGTATTCTCTTGACATAATTCCAATTTGTTTCCAAGTATTATGAACAATATAAAATAAAAGAAAGATTTATTGGAAAAAATCTATTCAATGGCTATTAGAATACATGGGGTAGGTCTGTACGAAACCATCTTTGAGAGGGTTTTTAAGGTAGCAATGCTAAGTCTAACCAGGCATGAGATAAAAAAGCACAGCTATGTAAAATGTAAGATAGTGGCTGAATTTGGCAGAATAGAAGAGCCTGAATAACTCCTAAGTTCGTGGATTATTTTGAAATTAATTCAACCCAGATCAGAGTTCACTGAAAAGTCTTGTCTTTGATGATTAAGAAATTACTTTTCTACAAATAATGCAATTAAGAAAACTGTAAGTTCAGCAATATCTTGCCATTTTTGTGACAAAGGTTGTGCCAAGAGTTAGCTACTTTCTTCTTTCAAAAATGACTTCCGTGGAGGGTTACAGCACTTGGCAGGCTCTTCTGGAGAAAGTTACTGATTCTCGTACCTTTGTGTATTGGCAGTCCACAGCTTGAGAGCCAGACAATAGATGAGAAGTATTAGCTCAGGCTTTTGTATTGCTGGAACAGTGATGCTGCACTATTTATTTCTGTGAGTAGTTGTGGATTAGTGGAGTGTTTAGAATATTCACTACAGAATCAGTCCTTTATTTCCCTTTCAGAAGTAACAATTAAGAAACTGACACTGAACAGTGACTTAAGAAGATAAAGTGTACCTATTGGACACTGAAATTTGTGTAAAGAGACAAGAACTTAAACGTACATATATATGATGTGTGTACTTACGTGCAGGATTGTTCCTCTGAATTGTTAGCAAAACTGAAGAAATCTTTCAAACTGCAGGATTTTTCACTTGCTCTAACTTCAGTATCATATTCATCCATTCTAATAGAGAATAGGTTTTCTTTTTTGGTTTCTTTGCTTGATACGATTTTTGACCTTTCTTTCACTGCATGTGTTACTGCTCAGAAAGCGAAGGAATTATTCATCTCATGAGACTATGCCATTTAAATTTCTTGTGTTGCTTGAATTCAACATCCTGTTCAAATGCAGTAATTAGATGCTGCAGTGTAATTGAGATTATCTTTCTCAAGTGAAATGAGGGTATCTAAATACTTCTGTATTGTGTTTCAAGATATCTGACTGACTAGAAGTATAAATAATGCTGATTTTTCTTTAATCTTATCATATCTGTCTGATGAGGAATCCGGTTCTTCAGTGTTTGAAGACCATGCTGCTATAACTAGCTAAAAATAAACTGAATTTAGAGTGCAGTAACTTCAAGCAAATGTGAGTCTGAGCTTTACTAGTACACTAACTTGACATCCGGCAAGTCCAGGTAGTTATGGAACTGGAGAAAACGAGTTACCGGGTTTTGGTGCGTGAGCTCTATTTCCCTTTTTTAAAGGCTTTTGGAATAGGCCTTCCACAAACCTGTATTGATCTAGTTACTGTCTGGTGTTCCTTTTTATACACTTGCTAAGCGTTGGAAATAGGGATTTTCCTGGTTTTTATGAAGCTTATGATTTTATTAATTTATTAAATGCATTAACTGTAGGTGACAGAGACACTTTTTGATCTATGTATACCCAGTTTTAAGGCCTAGTGAAGTCTCACTGTTGTGTTTATTTTTTTCCAACAGTGAATGGTGAGCAGGAGAACAGAGTCCAGAAAGGAAATGGATACTTTCAAGTGCCACCACATACACCAGTTATTTTTGGTGAGGCTGGAGGACGCACTTTGTTCAGGTATAAAAATTCAAGAGTGTGAATTCAGTGGCTAAACTATCACTTTCTTTGTGCAAGCAGAAATGTTATCAAAAGGTAATCTTGCATCCATTCTGTACTGTATGTCCAAGACAAACCCTTGATAGGCAAAATAAGCAGCTGTTAATGATAATCTTGCATTGTCCAACTGAGTATGTGAGTTTTAACATGAACAAAGTGTGGGGTTTTACAAGGGTAGGAGTTTGTATATTGTTCTTAGTTGTATGTCATAGCTTTGAGATCTTTTTGGGTGCCCTCTTCCTGCAAACCGACTAACTGAACTTAGTTCTAGAATGAAATTGCGCAACTTCAGACTGTTGTAGAACTTCTCTTGTGAGTCTGTTGTACTGGTTTTGGAGCATTAGTGACACAGACAGCAGTTCCTCCTCACTGGAGAGCTGGTTTCTGCTCCTAAAGTTACATTTGGTGACCCATTAGAAGGTCCTCAGCTCTGGCAGGTAGGAGCACAGGTTCTGTACTGTAATGTGTATATACTGATTACCCTTCTATTTCTTCTAATTCTACGTTGAAAAGCCTAATTGTGATATATGATACAACAAAGACAGTTTGATAGTGCTGCAGATAAAATGCCAACCTTTCAAATACCGTGAAGCATTTCATATTTGCTAACATAATGGATTTTAATTTGGGGGCGGAAGGCGTTTAATTTGTTGGGGTTTTTTTCCAGCCTAAATAGACCCAAAGTCTATGTAACTTTCAATCCATGAATTGGTCAGTAAAACAGGGTGACTTTTTTTTCAGCTTCAAAAATTGATAATTTTTTTCTGCAGTATCAATGTACTTACATTGTAGCTGGGGCTTAATATTTGCATCCATTCTGTACTGGTGGACCTTAGATCTTATGTAGCTTATTCTCAAGACACCACTGAAAGGACATCATTGGAGGGAGCAAGCCATACTTACGGGACCTAAAGGATATGACAAAATACTGGATTGGAATTTATAAAATTGTTTATAGCTTTGTTTCACCATTGTATGTTTGCGTTGCTTGAAATTGTTTTTATTCTTTCCATTTGGTGAGAGCTTAGTGGACACTTTACATGCCAAGCTCATTTTCCCAAGCAAAAAAGAATTGCTTTATGCCAGGTGCTTTCCCCCATCTCCTGACAGTTTTGTGTTTCAACACACAAAGTAGTTTTTTAAATTTCTCTGTGCCATAGCCTATAGTCTCTTGAGATACTTCTCCCTGTTTCTGCTCTAGGGATCTGTCTTCTCCCTGCAGCTACTTTTTCTGGTCTTTACGGAAAGTACGTGATCACTTCCCCAATGAGTTTGATGTAAAGGCCCAGCTAACCAAGTTCAGGCTCCCTGCCCATTAAAAGTGCAGGTCCTCTCCTGAAAGCTTTTTAATGCACATTACAAGAATTGTTTTCATTCACAAAGATTATTTCTCTATGTCTTAGGTTATTGTGTCGGGATTCGGGTGGCGAAACTGAATCTATGCTTCTAAATGAAACTGTGCCACAATGGGTAATTGACATCACTGTGGATGTAAGTATCGTGTACAATTTTGCGTTTTTTATTGGGTTTTTTGTTTTGGGGTTTTTTTTTTTAAGTTGCACTACAGGGTTTTTTAACTATACAGGACCTGAAGACACTTTGAGATTCATTATTTTTTTTTTATGTGTCCAGTTAAGGTATTTTTGCTCACTTTCTTTTGACAGAAAGTCTTAGAAAAAGAATTCAAAGCACTGTGCATAATTGGGATCCTTTTCAAGTGTGGAGCTCAGGAACAGGGAATACTCTTCATATTGCTGCAGTCTTTTGATACTATCTGATTTTCTTTGAAATAAATGATAATTTATATTCAAAAGCTGGATATAATATGTGCATCATCTAAATTGAAGCGTCTCAGGAGTATGAGTAATTTGGAAGTTGGCTGTGGTGCTTATGTTGATTAAGAATCTCTCTTGGTTTTTGATAATTAGGAGCTGAATATACTTCACATACCAGCTGGTGCAAATAGGAGCTGATAACAGTTTATCCTAAATTAACACTTTTCACATTTGTTTCCTTCTAGAAAAATATGCCCAAATTCAATAAGATTCCCTTCTACCTCCAACCGCATTCATCATCAGGGGCAAAAACTCTAAAGAAGTGAGTAATGCATATTTGCATTTTTATTACTATTTTTAAATTATTATTAATTATTATTATTTAAATATACTAATGATATATATTATATTATGTTTCCTATTTCTAGATGAGATGAATAATAGCTTTTTGAAAGGAAAAGGTACAAAACCTCACAATAGGGAATGCAAGATAGTCTGCCCGTTGCATTAGCTGTAACTGGGAGCTATATAGGTTAGAAATCAGTGCAGGTCCTCAGGTATGAAGTCAGTGTCACAGACAAGATGCCATGACCATTTATATGCAGCAGTTTTGGGTGTTTTCCACAAATGCCTAATTCCTCTTTGAGTCTTGTTGAATTCTTTACATCAGAGACAATTTGTGAAAGAGGAGCTTCACAGACTTTTTGTGTACTTTGTGGAAAAACTGCTGCTGCTTATGACTTTAGAATGCCCTTCTGTTAATGTAGTAGGGTGAAAAGCATATTCTGTCTTACATCTTTTATTATTCCACATCCTGTGTCCTTCTCTTACTAATCCCTTCTCTATTAAAAGAAAGACGGATGCGTACAATACTCTTCATCTAAGGTTTGATTTTAATTCAGTCTTTTGAATATCTTTTCTGGACTTTTCTGAGTCCCTTTTGCTGTGTGAATCTGGATAAGTAACTGTTATGGTCATGGTATTCTGGATGATCCTGATAATTTACTATTAAACTTATAATATAAAGAGCTTACCTGTGTACTTGCATCGTTTACTACAAATAGGGTATCGTGAAGATAGGAAATAGTTTCTCAAGTTTTTTCCTGCCAAACTTTGCTTACCTTATATAGAGACCGACTGTCAGCCAGTGATATGCTTCAGGTGAGAAAAGTGATGGAACACGTGTATGAGAAAATCATAAACTTGGATAATGAGTCTCAGACAACTAGCTCTTCCAATAATGAAAAAGCAGGAGAACAAGAAAAAGAGGAGGACATTGCTGTGCTGGCAGAGGAGAAGATTGAACTTCTGTGCCAGGACCAAGTAAGTTACTTGGGCGTTTTAGCCTCTGAACAAAACCAACGTCTAGCACTGAATCGGCTGTGAATTTCTGAATACTGGGCTTGGAATATGCTATAGGTTATTTGCTGCCTTAAAAACTCAGTAAATGTTTTAACATTGTGTTAAATGACTGTTGACACAAGTTCAAACACCGGCAGATAGCTGGATCAAAGAATTGATATAGTATTCCTGTTTAATTTACTTCTGACGGGTTACATTTGTAGGATTACTCGCACTCCACAAGCAGACAATACAATTCCCTAGAGTTCCATTTCTAGCATTTTTGAATGGTTTTAGTTCCCCATTTCTAGCAGAGTTTAAAATTTGTCCAAAGTCATGAATTGTCTAGAAAGTGTAATAAGTGCATGAAGATTAAATATGGAGGAGGTGGTTGTAATATGAAGTTATATGTTACATCTTCTATGTGGTAACATCTTTCAGCAATGCAACAGGTTTACTCACTAGTTGAAAGATACGATCTTTTGCGTGGTTCATCTTTGATGCCAGTTCACCCGTGGGATTGTTTTGCCCAACCAGAGCGTTTTAGCTTTGAATTTCTGACCGTCTAGCAGATTTGTGGAATAAAAGATGAATTTCTACTATTTAGGTTTTGGATCCGAATATGGACCTTCGAACTGTA